CAAAGAGAGTCAGTGATGGAGCAGTCTGTAGTACTGCCCTTCCTAGTCTCCACAACTGTCCCCTCTGGAATGTCTTTCCCTCCATGCCCTTAGCTCAGTGTTGCTCAAACTTCAACCAGCATCAGAATGGCCGGGAGGACTTAAAACACAGGCTGCTGGGCCCTATCCTCAGTTTGTTTGACTAGTTCTGGGGTTGGGCCTGAAAATTTGCATTTCTATCCAACAAGTTCCCAGTTGCTGATGCTGCCTGTTCAGAATCACTTTGGGAGAGCCACTGCTTTAGCTACTCTCTCTGCATCCATCATCTAGCTCCTTAGTGAGAAACTCCACAAGTGTCCCCAAACATGTCACAGAATGTCAAGGCTGCGTAATTCTGACCCAGTTCCTTAACGTCTTTGAGCCTCAGTCTCTTCATCTGTAAAATGGAGACAATAGTACCTCCCTCATAGAATAGTTATAAAAAATGAGATAATTCATCCAACAGGCTTACTACGTACCTTACAAGTGGGAAACTGTTCTGCTGTCATTAACTATTTTATTAGCAGAATAGTAGTATCACTTTTCATATGCCAGCTTCTTGAGGGCAGAGACCATGTCCTACACAAACACACAGTTCTCAGAGACAGAAAGAGCTTCAGAGACTCTAGTGTTTTCCTAACCTAGCTGATCAGGAGCATCACCTGGAAATTGTTCAAAATTCAAATGCATGGGTGCCAGGAAGAACTACTAAGTCTGGAAACTTGGACCAGAAGCCTTGGGCATTTGTATTTTGAGCAATTCCCCACATACCAGGCTTGGGAACCACTTATTTAGCCTTATTCCTCACCTGGACAGAGGACTGAAGGCCCAGAAAAGGGAAGTCCCTTGTCATTCCATGGCCCCAGCTGCCTGGAGGATGGGTGAAGATCAGAAAGGTCTCCAGATTCGTCTAGTCCTTCCCCAAGCGAAACTGTTTGAATGCTTTCTCATCAATCTCGAACCATCCCGTACAAATCCTCTCTCCTACAGACATGATGAACAGTCCAACAGCTTAAGTATTTCCCATGCAGATAAATTCGGCATGTGTCAAGGACCCTCAATCCACTGCTGAACATCTAATTTTCCACCATATTCATTCAACCAAAATGTCAGAGAAATCCTTAGCCTGGCATACAAAGTCCTCCTTGACCTGTTCCTTAAGTCTCATTTCCCACCAGAACCTCACTCATATTGTAACTCCTAACCAGACCACACAGTTTGTTACTGGCGGGGGGGGGGGGGGGTGCCGGGGGGGGGGGGCGGTGAGGGAGGGTGCCTCACTTCCACAACTCTAGCATACGTTAAGTTTAAGGGTGACAGGATGTGGAAGGACATATGAGAAGTGCTGAGGTTGTTCACTCAGACCCGTACTACAGAGCTCTAGGACTCAGAAAAGCTCCTCTGCTGTCAGCATATGAATCATCCATGATACCTCTGTATTCTTGCAACCACCCTGAAGTTTTTGAAATGGAATTTCTATCAAATGCATAGTGCAAAATTGCTGGAAGCCACCAGTCACCCTTTGGTCTTCCAGCTCACTGATAAGACAATGCTTACCTGCCCACTCTGCTCCCACCCTCCCCACCCTGATTCCCTCTTCCCCCAACAGAGTGACTGGTACTACACCATACCACAGCTGCCTGCTCTTCCCACCTGTGTTCCTCTCCCTTTCATGGCCCCATGAAAGGCCCCTTGAGCCCAGTTCCTGTGTGTCTAGATCGGATTGTCTTGCCTCTGTTGGTGTTCTCTCAAGAATCAGCCAATACCCGGCTCCCCTACACAAATCCTCTTGCCTCTAGGTCCCTATAACATAATTTAACACAATTACATACTGTGTTGCTTCATGGTAGACAGAAGGTAGGTCATGACACTGGTTAAGTTGCTAAACCCACTCTGAGCTTTGAGCGAAAGGACTGCTTCTTGATCCAGCTCCCAGAACACATAGCTAGGTAAACGGGGTATTCATCTGACCATCTAATAACTTGTTCAGTAATTCCCTGGCAAGACATCTTGCTGAGAACATAGTAGGTATATGAATCATGAGTTTTATACATTATTTTGTCCTGCAGAAAACAGCTACTCAATATTTGAGTGAATGAATAAATGCACAATTAAGACTCAAGTCATACAACTGCAGTCCAATCTCAGCCCTATCACTTGGTTGGGTTATTTAACTGCTCTAAACCCTCTCCAACATGGATCGTTAAGATCTCTTAGGATTGTTGCGCAGATTAGAGTATGATGTAGAGTATTTAACATGTTGCTTTTAAGGAGCACCTGAAATAAATTGCCAGGGAAGAGAGCAGACGATTATTAAAAGCTGCCTGGGCATTCAGCTGCAAAAATTCAGGAGGGTAGTTCTACAGCAGGCTGTAAAACACTCCAGTATTCAGTGGGCTCTTTAAAACTGCCCGTTTCAGAACTACCTCTAGCTTCTCTTCTTGCCACTCACCAAAGATCCTTGCTACCTCTCCCTGAGACTCAGCCCCCAATACCAAGTTCTGGGAATGGATGTGCTCTCCCTGTTGACTCCCATTAGTAAAGTCAACCTTGCATTTTTTAAGGAGGCTCTTTCAAAGTCCGTTGACAGCAGCGGTGTGGTATGATTACTGTCAGGACCAACAGTGCTGAATCTCTAAGAACCCAGAAGTTCTATAGCACAATTGTCCACCACTTAGATAATTCCTTCAGGTCCCTACTTTCTGTCAGGTGCTTAGCATTTGTTTTCAAACTGTTCTCAAAGACATATCATCATGAGCTTCAAGAGCAAGTAACCTTGGGAGCCCCAATTTTAAGAGAAGTTAGCTTGAGCTGGGACCAAGTGACTTACCTACACTCAGCTGGGCTGGATGGAAGGAACATGCAGAAGTGACACATGACCAACAAGCAGGTAGATGAGGGTGCAAGGAAGCTGTAAACACCTATCCTGAGGCTCACAGCCAGACCTCTAAACCTTACCAACTGTCATTGTGCAGGAAGGCAGGCCAGATGTTCCTTCCTCGGATATTGAAGACACTAAAAATCTGGACCTCTATGTAAAATTTGTCATTTCAAAATACTCTGCCTAACAAAGCCTACAGATGAAGACCGCCAGTTTGTGATTTCCATAACACCCCAGCCCAAGCAGCTCCCCTGGAAAAACAGGCTCACCAGAGTTAATCATGATTCCTTTCTCTAGAAACTAAGGCTACAAACTGTCCTCCCTGGACACATCCCAATTTAAAAATAAAAGACTTTACATCTTAAGACTAAGATTTACTTTCAGAGAGGGGAAAGGAGGGAGAAACATCTATCCATTTCATCTCACATGACCCCAGCAGACCTGGCCCACAAGCCAGGCATGTGCTCTGACCTGGAATTGAAGCAGCGACTTTAGTTTTGTAGGACAATTCCCAACCCACTGAGCCAAGCCAGTCTGGGTTCCATCTTGACTCTGATGCCAACCTTCACCTCCATTCAGTCTCCATGCAGCTGTGCCCTCTTATCTTCGTTATCAGTCCTTGATCTATCACTCCCATGAGACCTGCTCCTTTTTGACCAACAACTCCTGGGACCAGACCTCTCCCACCCTTGCTTCCCGCTTCACCTCCTGCCCTATACCTGGCCAGCCCAAATATAACCTCCCAACCTCTTCCAGTTTTGCCCCTGCATTCTTCTCACAGTAAACTGCATCCCCTACTGCAACATTTGCTATCACGGATGATCTGTATGTACTCCATGCACTGCTCCTTTAAAAATGCCACTCACTTCAAATCCCCTACTCCTTGCCCATTAGGTCATGTGGATGAATACTGAAGCTTACAGGCTTAAAGTCTCAACTCCTCCACTCTCCCTACTAACCATTTGCTATCTCCTGGTCCTAGCAGGGGAGCAAAAAGCAGGCTTCTTAGCAAGGGAACCCAACAGGCCACAGGTCCCACAAACCCAAGTATGCAATCTAGCATAACCACAAATGGAGCAACTATATCCACCCCATCCCCCAGTCTAGCTATCTTCAGTCAAGATTTCTCCCCATTCCCTCCTGTAAACGTGATATGCCTTCTGTCATGATTCTTCCTTTCTTCCTGGATCCCCACTGTACCCAACCAACCAGGTCTTTCAAGTCCTCTACTACTTCCTAAGGTTTCTCTGGAGATTTTGATCCACTGTCATCATTCCTAACAGCACCTAATGACTTCCAAATGGACCCACCCAAAGTGCAAGCCTATCATATGGAAAAAATAAAATGGCAACCCAAACCCCTGAACCGTTAACACCTCTTCTCCCCTCACACCCTCTCATTTTCTATCCTCTCGAAAGGCATCTCAACCCACACAGTAACCCTAAAACAACCCCTCCTCAAATCTCCCAACCCCACACAACTAACCAATAACCCAAAGTTCAGGACCACAACCCTGGTGTCTGAAAAAGCCATGAGAATTAGCAGCATCTGGCAAAAAAAGTAGCACTAGATAACCTCAATGTTTCATAAAAATCATGTGCCATCAGACTGAACGAGCAGTCACACACTACACCCAAATTTTCATTACACAAGAGCATCTTTCAAATTCCCCACTTATAATAAACTACTCATTTATCCCAAACATAAACCTACAACACACAAAAACCAGTACTAATAGGTCCTATTCAGGATAAATGAAAAAGTGACCTACTGGTTTGATTTTTTTTGAGGCCAGCAAATAATCTTTCAGTAACAAGAACTAAGTGGGGTTCTAGGACAACCAAAATGGAATTTTAAGTGTCTCTTTCAGAGACAAAGTACACTGATGGCAAATATTAACATGAGCACTCCAGACTGGCTCTATATGCTCCCATGTTACCCATATTCTACACTTGACATCTTTGTGTTATTAAAAGGAAGGATAAACACCACTCCATCATATCAAGTTTTCAGTAAATGCTTAATGGAACATGTGAACTTGGACAGCAATCTAAGTCTGCCAAAACAGCAGACTAATTACACTCCCAGTAAACTTCAAATATATTTCAAAGAACCAGACACATAAAAATTCTTAGTTTATTAATCCTCTCATGAAAAATCTGCATTATCACCACAGATAAGTCACTGAAGAATCCTTACTCCTTCTGTGAATCAAAGAAAAAAAAAATTAGTTAGCAATTTAGGAACTAAACTTTAAAAATTAAAGTTCAAAGTCTTAAACTCCAAAATTAATGGCACCCATGCAGAACAAATATTAGTAACCTACAATTATGTTAGGTTTATATGATCATAACACAATGTAAGCATCAACAAATAAAGCATTCAAGTTATGAATAAAACAAAAGAGTTAAATATTACTAAATGTTAAAAACAAAACTATGTCACTATTAGTATTTAATAGGCTACAACTCTTGAGAGCATTTGTAAATCTACTTCCTAATCTATTTCACGTGCTCTACTTTTAAATTACTGTGTCAGTAAACCAAGTCTAGTGATCTAAATGAAAAGCTTCAATTATACCTGTTGTCAATCTCCAGCTCACTGAATCAGTGGCAGGGAAAGGAGAAGGGGAAAGGGAAAAAAACATTCATTATCAGTCCCTTTTTAAACTCCAAAATAATCTGCATTTAAGTGCATGCAATCAGGTACCTTAAAGATGATCATTCTGTTCTTTGCAACTGTATAAAGAACACTCCTTAGACATACTCATTGATTTTATTACTCCCAACTTTGAGAGTATCTTGCCTGATTACTACGGTTCTTATGCAAACAAGGTGGCTGGCCTGATGCGTCTGAAATGAAGGCAGGTCAGTATAATGGTAATGGCAATCCAAGCTGCCACTGTCTACTTCTAGATGAGGCAGGCATACCTAAGCCTTGGGCCCCCTGACTCTGCCCGGCAACACTGTGCTGGGCACATTGGCACCATCGACAGACTTGGTAGTCATTCCAGACTAAAGTCAAATTTAACCACAATGAGAGAGCTCTAATGATCAAACAAACCTTTTAAAACTTGTCTTGGTTCAGTACTTTAAAAGCCACCATTCACAGCCAACAAAGTAGTGCAAATTAGTATTCAAAGAGAATTTAGCTAAATTAAAAATGCTTCAAATGTTCTTTCAATGTCAGATTATTTATTCCTTAATTTTAAATAACTCCTATTGCACCCAAAAGGTAAAAGCAAATACCAATTCCAACATCTGAACAAAACTGAAAATGAACACTAATATGCCTGACTTTTTCTTAGCCATAAAATACATGAGCTCATCTATGCATTCATTTTGCAATTGACTTTTCAGAGCAGTGCTAGTGAAATCCACCAGTGCAACTTTAAGTAGGAACAGTGATGGCTCAGGTACCCTCAGGTCCCCTCTCTGTACCTGTCACCACTGAACAGTTAACACATGAGACTCAGGCTGAATGAAAAAAAAGAATGTGTTAAGTATCCTTCAGCTACAGATCAGAAGACAAATATTGACTGATTCTTTTCTGCAACCTCCACAACTTCTGTAAATAAGTATAAAGCCTCACAAATAGGGAGTGGCTCTAAGCAGCAAGCAGTTCCTCTGGCAGTTTGTTACTATTAACTTCATGACAATGAGAACTCAATGGGATCTGAATTCTGAGCAGGCAGAATAGGTTTACTGCCTGGCCTGGCAGGGAGTCATTAAGCAAGCACACAGGGTCAGTGACCACTACCGCTTCAAAACCCTACTATCCCCAAGCCAGGCTCAGTCCACATTATACACTTACAGAAAACACGTTTATCGACAGCTTTAATGTGAATATACAATTATACTGGAAATTTTTCAATTAAAAAAACACATCAGATGAAAAACTGGGTATCAGTAAAAACCAATGGAATGGTAAAGAAGGTAAAAGCCAGCTCTGAGTGGATGATTCCAGGACAGAGGCTTTGTTGTATTTCCTGGACTAGTTTATTACCAGAGCTGGCAGAGCGTGGAGCAATCTCCAGGCCCCACAGAAAAGACTTCTCATAACTGGATGAGAGGACCCTTCCCAAGCCCTGTGTTAACTAAAGCCATTTCCTGAGTATGTAACCTTCTGGAACACAGCTTCCCAAGTATAAGTTAAAAGGCCTACTTAGCAGGATATCCACCTTCGTCCACTGGGTCACTTCACAATCTAACATGCATTTTTGAGTTTCCAAAGTAAGTGTGATTAAAAGTTTTTGTCTTTTGTTCACAAAATGCTATTTTAAAACATAGCAGTAGTGTTGTAATAAACCATACTATAAAACTGTCGTTCAAAAGCCAACATGCAAAGCATCAAAGCAAACTCAGTGAAGATGATGCATCCCCACACCGTGCTCACAATCTCAGTACCTGCCAGACACTTCATTTCTGATGAACAAGAAATCCAAGAAAGGAGAGGGAAAAGGCAAAAAAAAAGTTCACAGAACACTTGATTATTTGTTAATTTAACAACCCAACACTTAATTCAACTGTTTACAGTTAGCTAGGCAAAGCTGGTAAAAAGCTGCGTATCATTAAAATCATTTACGTGTTGGCTAACTGGAGAGGTAAGCAACTGAGATTTCAATTGCCTCCCCAGCACGCCAGGGAAACACGGGCCACATTGATTCGACTCCTCCTTCAACCCGTTCGTCCATTTTAAAATTAGTCTCAGAAAACTACATCTGCTCCCGCAGTAAGTCTATGCCAATTAGCAGTAAAACGAAAAATTTCTGATTGGGCTTGCAAGTCACCCACCAACATGGTCACTGAACCAATGTGGCCCTCGTATTGTGCTAATCTGTGAGCTGTAGCGAAGCTACTGTGGGAGAAGCTACTCTACTGAGGTGGTGTTAAGATACTACATTATGTAGCTTCTCAAAATACATTACCTTCTGTAATCCAGAAGAAGTGGAAGGGAAGAAACATTAAGAAAGATTATTAAAACAATAAAATCCCTTTTCTATAAAATAAAGACCTAGAGTTGACACTTCTGCAATTTTGCTGAGGAACTATACCTTTTTGCCAGCACCAACATTGGCCTTTGCAGTCCCCCTGACTTTCTTCATTCTGTTCTTGCGTTCCTTTCTCTGTTTTCTTGAGGTCTTCTTCTTCTCATATAGGCCATGCTAAAGGAAAAAGGAATATATATATACAGGATACTTGCAAAACATTACCTACTAATCTGGTAGGGAAACAGACCAGCCTGGAGTTCTATAAATGCAGCTCCCCAAATTGAAAGTTTTCAAGTACATGTAGTACTTGAACAGAAAGGGTCATTAAATTAAGGAACAGTGTACAAAGAACAAATGCCCACTCAACACTCCCTGCATTAAGTTTGAGGAACTTAGCTATTGTTGGCCAGACTTGAACCTACAGCTTCCAGGGTCACCGCGGTTTGACCTCTCTTCAAGGGTCTCCTGCATTTCATCTCCAGATTTATTCCTCTCAGCTAACAGAGGAGCCTATACCAAGAGCTCTATCCACTCTGCACAGACTGCTATCATCTAGTTACCCATGTTCACTCTGCCCACTTTTATACTTGCTGGTCCTGCTGCCTGTAAAACTGCTTCATCATCTCTAGAAGGATCTCCACTTTAATGCCAACTCCTCAATGCACCCCAGACCACCCAATTAGAGTGCAGCACCTATCCATCACACCCCAGTGATTTCCCTCCCAGCTCTTCTACAGAAAAATTTAACAGCAGGGAGGAACACGGCTAAAGAGATAAGTAACAATCCATTTGCTAGTTTAGTTTACTATCTAGAATGTAAACTTGGAAGCTTGCCCAGCCTACTACTGCAGTTTACTATAGTTCAGTGCCTGGCACTCAGGAAATTATCAAAAAACCTTTGTGGTTCCTGGCTACCTGTGGGAGTTAAGTCCAAAAGACCTTTGGTAACAAGGATCTCACTTTATTTGGTGCAACCTACGTTTCCAAACTTGTCCCTATTTCCAGTTCTAATCTCCTGGAATACTACTTTACCTGCTCTTCTAGACTCAGCTCAAATGCTGCTGGCCCCACCTCTTGGGGTTCCTATATCAAAGAACGTTTTCTCTTAATCCCTTAAGAGTTCTTTAGGTCTTTATGTTGTCACTTCCCGATGCAATGCCATTGAAAAATGTCTTCAATAGCTCTTGAACAAAACGAGGATACCTACCCTTGCGAGTCTGTGCTTGGGTTCATTTTTCTTTGCATAATCCAAGGAATCATAAATCATGCCAAAGCCAGTTGTCTTGCCACCACCAAAATGGGTTCTGAATCCAAATACAAAGATGACATCTGGTGTGGTCTTATACATTTTGGCTAGTTTTTCCCGAATTTCTGTCTTGGGTACTGTTGCCTTGCCAGGGTGAAGAACATCAATGACCTAAAAGGAAATATGAAGTTTGTTACTTATTACAATGAAACACATCTTTAAAAGTAAAGAACGATTGCCTGGGCCAGTGTGCCTCCATTGGCTGGAGCCTTGTGTAGTGGGTTCAATTCTAGGTCACGGCACATAGCCAGGTTGTGGTCCGAACCACATTGGGGTGCATGTGAGAAAGAAGCCAATCCCAATCAATGTTTCCTTTTCTCCCTCCCTCGCTCTTTAAAAAAAGGCGGGGGGGGGAATGAAAACACACACGCAAAGTGATGAACAAGTAAGCAAACTCTGATGTGCCCCTTCTTTACCATTTGTTTCCGCTGAAGCAGTCTGTTGGTCATGAACTTCCTGGTCCGGATAGTCACTGTGTCATTCTGCAAACATAACATACCAGTTAATAAAACTACTCAACCTTTTCTTGGCCTTGCTATGATTTTCCAAGTCCTAGAACTGCACTGTCCAAATCAGTAACCACTAACCACATGTGGATAATAAAAATTAAATGTTTAAAATGGAATTCCTCAGCCACAGGAACCACATTTCAAATGTTGAAGAGCTACATGGACTAGTAGCAGGGAAAGTGCAATACACAGAAAAGCACAAATTCCCATCTCCCCCTAACCCACTTACAGCGCCTAACTCAGAGGGCACACCTCACACACACAAGCTAAGTATCAAGAAAATGCAGTCAACAACTTTGTATGACTCTCTCTTACTTCACTTTATAAAGGGACTCACCCTGGAGTACATTATGTCAACCTCAACACTATTGGTATTTTCATCGAGACTTGCCCTAAGTGTTTTAAGATGTTTAGTTGCCTCTAATCACTAGATGCCAGCAGCAAACCCACTTTCCAGTTGTACCCAAGTGTTTCCAGACTTTGTCCCCGTTGGGGCAAAGTCACCCCCAGTTAGGAACAGCCTTTCTGGAGTAATACGAGTGTTAAAGAGTCACAGTCCGGTGTTTATTAGCATCCTGCACTAATCTGACAAAAACGCTGCCCTGACCTGCATGTAAACTACCCTTCCTGAATGACCAACTCTACAGCCCATAAAGCCAGACTCCCTTCTGAATGGCCCAACAGCTCTTTTCCACAATAACTACCAAGGCAGGTTGATATTTAGCATGTTTACACTAAAAGAATGTTTACAATAGAAGAAAATTTTACCAAAAAGATGGAGAGGCTTCCCATGCCAAGGTCTGATCGCTAGCTTTGTTTAAAAAAGCACACCAAAATAGTTTGTTCACTTCAATAGTACTTAATTACGAATGTAAAGGGTCTGGGGAAAAGTGGCAGGTAAAGTGGACCTAAAAACTGGTGATGAACCTTTCGAATGACGGGCCTCGGTGGTCACAACTTAAGGATGATGGATTCTTTTTCCAGAGCATCCGTTTCCCCAAGGGATAAGAAAAGGACCCAATCAGTTGACAGTATTCTGGCTTACACATGACAACGGCTGCACCCGCTGGAACTCGCCGGGGGTCTGCCGGCACCCTCTTCATTTCTGCCCTGCCATCCCCAGCAAACGGCTTATCCATCCCAAATTGCGACTGCATGAGCAATGCCTTTCACCGCCCCCCGCCCCCCCGTCCCGCCACCAAGCTCTACGAAGCCGACAAACTCAGCAGCCGTTTCCACGTTCCCCAGGCCTTCAGTTCTGACGGCCGGCACGTTGGGTCGGCAGCGCAGCCTGGAAACCCAAGCCGGCGGCGCCAGAGCCCTCGGCAACCGGCCTCCGTCAGAAGAGGCCAGGGAAAAGCTACCAGGTTTCGGGGGACAGTAGCGCAGACGGGGAAAGCGAGGGACCAAAGATGGCTCAGATACACAACGGATGACGGCACAGGTACGGGAGACTCACCATGATGGCTACCGATCTTTAAGCAGCAAGGGAAGAAAAGAGAACTACTTGACACCGGCCAATCGTATCGACGCATACGGAAGGACCCCAAGCGCTGCCGGCGTGGGGCGTAGCCAGACAGCGCGGTGGACCAAGGCAGTGCCGGATTGAAAATTCCTAAAGCCCCGCCTCACCCATTTTTGGCCACGCCCCAGGATCCTGGACTGGCCAATCCGGAGACGGAAGAGTTAGGGTCTGACTAGGTTACGTAAGCACTTGTATTTGAGTTCAGTTCAGTGCGTTATCTAATTTGTCACTCCTTAAAGTTTCTGTAAACCGAGTTATAATTTAACTCCAGCCAAAGACAAACACTGTATGATTTCACTTATATGTGGAATTTAAAGAACAAAATAAACCAGCAATATCGATTTGAAAGAGACTCACAGACACAGAGAACAGACTGGTCCAGGTTGCCAGAAGGGAGCACATTGGCAGGATAGGTTAAAAAGGTGAAGGGATTAAGAAGTACATTTTGGTTACAAAAAAATCACAGGGATGTAAAGTTCAGCATAGGGAATAGAGTCAATAACACTGTAATAACTTATGTATGGTGCTAGGTACGTAATTTAATTATCAGGGGGATCACTTTACAGTTGCATCATTGTTAACCACTATGCTGTACACCTGAAATAAAAGATTGAATGTCAACTGTAATTGAAAAATGAAGTTAAAAAAATTAAAAAGAAAAAGTTACCTCCAACTTAGAAATTGGTAAAGCTGGAACACCTGGTAGGAGTCCCTATTGATCAGCCTTCTCATTTGACAACTAAAGAAACTGCAAACTGTACTTGAACAACAATAAAAAAAAAAGAAAGAAAAGAAAGTGCAGGAACCCTGACTCAAAACCTTTGTTATTTCAAGTGCACAAACTGTTTTTGATTTATTGCTAATGAGTATTTTTCTGAGATTCTCTGGTGATTTTTCTGACTAGAAATGAGTATTTTTTATCTTTTTGTGCAAATCTTAGTTCTTACAAAAATTGAGCTTTTAATAAGCCCTTGTTTGATCCAAAAATTTAGTTGTTCACAGTGAAAGAAACATGTCAAGATAAAGAATAAGAGTGTTCATGTTCAAAGAGAACATTAGGAAAGAACTTCCCAAAGGTTAGTGTGGACCAGGACACCAGGGTGCAGGCTTTGAGGGTAGCTTTTCAATATGGTTCAGAATAATAAGAAGAGTTAATACTCACTGAGTGATTGCTATGTACCTGTTACGTTATAATTACTTTCACCTTCATTATCTTCATTATGCCGTTTGACCTTCCAAACTCTGAGAAATAGCGTACCTATTATTTAACCCTTTTATAGATGGGAAAGGAGCTAAGATACGATAAGGTCAAAAAACTTCACCAAAATCACAGAACTTGGAGTCACTGTAGTTAAAGAACCTTTGCTCTTAACCTGTAGTCATTCATCAAGTCTTGTTGTTATACAATTGTCAGCATTACCGCCAAGGTACAATAGTGATTAACTGCTGAAATAGGTTAGGGAAATCCGTTTTGCTTTGCTTTTTGTCTGTGACATTATTGTTTTTACTAGTGAGAATTCATGGAGTCTGAAAATTAAATAGCATGCCTTTATAAAATTCAAAGGTTGTTGATCCACATTGTTGTGTTCTGTTTAGAGTTTCTCACAAACAGTAAAGAAATTTCAGGTTCTGTAGTGCTGAGTCCTATGTGGTGTGGTTTACTTGCTAGTCTCATTAGAATCACCTTCCACAGGTTGTCACAGAGTCTAAGCAAGCAATTTATTTCAATACATAAATTATCTCCCCTTCCTGTTCTCCCCTCATCTTGTTTCCAGAGCTAATCGTCATTCACTTTTCATTCTGAACTGACATTTTCAGCTTCCGTTTTTGTAATCAAGAATATGGGTTTACTTTTTTTTTCCAAAATAACTCTGTGAACTGGAAGAGCATGTATGGCCGTGTTTTCTGCCCTGTTTACTTCTTTTGTTGGTGGTCCAGATGGTGCCCTCTGTTCCTTGGAAGGATTCATTTTAGCCTCCAACTGTCCTTAGACAATTAGAGACCTTTATTAAGTTGGGATTAATGTTGATAATGACTATTTTTCATTCTTAGCAATTTTTGACTTTCTGGTTGTCTAAAAAAACCTGAGGCAATGGGTTGTAGTTACTCTGCAGGTGTCAGATGACCTGGAGAAGTGGAGCCAAAATGGGACTTTGAAAATACAAAATCTTCTGTAGTTTCAAGGAGGTACCGCAAGATGGCAGCGTAGATAGAACTAGAAAAATCGGCGTGCCCGAAGCCTCTCTTGACAGAGGCGCCGGGGAAGTAGCAGAAGCGGAAATGACCACGTGAGGGGCTTTACGGCGGCCGAGAGGATGCCGTGTTTGTGTCAGTAACGAGTCAAGAAGCACTCCCTGGAGGTGTAGGGACCTTCGTTTTTCTAAACCAAATCCCCGGGTCTCGAGGAGGTGCCCAGGCAGACGTCATCATGGTGAAGGAGCAGTTCCGGGAGACGGATGTGGCCAAGAAAATGTAAGATGGAGCAACACTGGCCAAAGGGCGGAGTAGTGAGGGGAGAGGGGTCCGAGGTCCGAGGTCCCGGTTTTCTAAGGGTTTGAGGTGAAGGCCAATTGGAAAGGGCGGGCCGGGAATAAGCCAAACGTGTGAGTATAGATCAGAACTACCAGAGAAGGTCAAAGAATATTGGTCAGGCAGAGAGCATTTCAGCATCTAGGGGACTGCAGGCTGGGGTGGTCCTGGGGTTGAGCAGGATGTGGCGTGAGCCTAGATAGTGGGTTCACCATGGGCCGAAGCTCGAGTTCTCACGAGGTTAAACGATAATCCCTTTCTTTATAGAAATCTTTCGCCGCTGCAGCGTGCGGAGCATTCTAGGGCAGGGACTACCTAATCCTGGTTTTGCTATAGAGCACATGATTGGGAGGCAGTATTGCTGATCGAAAGGATAGACTTGTCAAGTAGAGAACTGTACCACCGGCGATGGATAGCAGTCTCAGAAGTGACTTTACTATTCTGGGCCTTCTCCCTCAAAGCTTATTTATTAGGCCACCGCTCTCCTTAGAGTCTTGTAGAAAAATGAAAATCACTCGTTCTGGCAGTACCTATTTTACTGAGGAAGGTACTGTATGCTACACCCAGTGGTAGACCTTAGGCACAGGACACGAGTGAGGACCTTACTGCCTAGTCTAGTTGGAGAAGAGAAAGTAGACAAGCCACCTTGGTTATGACAAGTGCAAGGACAGGAATAGGCATAGAGGGTTCTGAGAGCACCGAGTGGGAAAGGGGTTCAGGCCGAAGAAAACAGACTATACAGCCTTCTTCACTAAGTGTACTGGGGGGAGAAAGCGTGGGTGATGATAAGGAAGCAGGAGATTTTAAGATGCGTTCAGGAGTCATCTTGCAAACAGTAGGGGACCTTTCAAGAGTTTTAATTAGGCAGGGGAGTGGCTTGATAAGTTATTTCCTTTTTTTTTAAGATGTCTTCATTAAAGAGGGACAGAATAAAAGGGAGACCTCGGAAGCCACTGCAGGGATCCAGGCAGCAGGTGATGATGGCCTGCCCTGGAGTAGGAGAGTCATTGGAGAGAAGTGGATTCAAAAGAGATTTAGGGTATAAAATTGGTAGTGAGGTAAGGGAGAAATGAGATTGACACACAGAGTTTCTTGCTTGGGCAGCTGTGTGAATGGTTGCCATTAACTAGAATGGGGAACGTGTGCCTTACCAGGCTGTCTCTCCAAAGCTACTCTGGCCTCTCACACCCTCCCCAACCCTTTCTATATATAATCTGTTCTCACAAAGCAACGCAAGAGACTGTTATGGTGCAAATTACATCCCTGACACTGCGGTTTAGAATCTTCCACCGGTTTCCGTTACACTAACATTTAAATTCTCTACCATTGCTTGCAAGCCCTACAGGACCTGGCCCCTACTCACCTCACTGACTTAATCTTGTACAGTTCGCTTTTGTGTGCTGTAGTATACAGCTTTCATTTGGTTCCTTGAAAATACCAAGCTCGCTCCAGTCCTAGGGCCCTTGCCATATTTACACTCTTATTTCAAAGTCTCAACCAGTGTATCATCTTATTGCTGGTTCCTTCTTATTCAAAATTCAGCTTAAAAGTCAATTTTATAGAGAGGCTTCCTGACCACACAACATAACGTAGACTCCTCACACTCTCTTTAACCGTTCCCATCATTTTAATTCTCTGTATTTATTCACTTTTGTGTATCAGTTTATGATGTATCTTGCCCACCCTGAACTGCGAGCTCCAAGGTTGTCAGGAACCTTCTCTTATCTGTATTTTCAGTCCCTGAGGATGGTGCCTGGCACATTGTAAATCCACAGTTTGGGGGGGAAATGAATGAAGCAACAGATTTGGGAGAGAAAGTATTGGGTCCTGTTTTAGATGTTCAAGTTTAAGGCGCCTATAGTATATGCAAATGTAGCTGCCCAGAAGAGGTGTCTATATGGTCTCCAGCTGCGTAAAAGTAGTAGCTGGCCTACAGATAATTAGACATCAACATGTGATCAAGTGACATGATTACTCAGGAGAAATACGTAGAATGAAAAGAGAATGAGGATTATAACCCTAGGTAGGGAGAGATGCCAGCATTTAAGGAATGGCAGTAGAAGGAGATATCACAAAAGCAACAGCCAGAGAAGGGAGGAAAACTCAGATTACATGGTGTCACCAAAGCCTTAAGAAGCCAGTATTTTCAAGATGAGGGGAGAGGAAGGCATTGACTGCTAATGCTACAGCTAAGTAAAGTGAAAATGTTCTTATTAGATTTAGCAACAAGCAGGTGGACGCGGTGACCTTGGTGAGCGTCATCTCATTTAATAGAGTGGGAACGATTCCAGCAGGATGAAGGGGTGCTTCCCAAGGAAAAATGGGAGAGGTTTGAATATACAACAATGGGGGAGCAGAGCCCGTAAAGAGTTGGAAGGATATGGTTGGTTATGGTGGGTCACATATGTAATGGCCATTTTGGGTAAGTGGTCTCGATGTAATTGGTCCTCTGTTTCTTTTCATTCCAGAAGCCACATCTGTTTTGGAATGAAGTCACCTGAGGAGATGCGCCAGCAGGCGCACATCCAGGTTGTGAGT